AATTTTATTGGGAACAAAGCTTCTCAGGATCCATTTCCTATAGGTGACCTCAAACACGGTCATTCATTTTTCTAGATAAAATTTCTTTTTTACATTTTTTTAAATGGAAAAAAAAAACCCGAAAGATTTTAGTAGTATTGAGATGGGATGGGAGGGAACTACGCCTACTTCCTTAGCACATCAACTATTTTATTTTTGCCTCCCAATTCCAGTCCAAGTGCACGATAATTCTATTGGCTGCCTCAATAGGACACGTAGCAATTCATATTCTGGTATGCTCCCTTAAGCTAGTAGCAGAAATGCATTTCTCTGTTTATCAATAGTCTTCCTGATTCAGTGTGCCTCTTAACAGCAAAATTGGGTCAATGGGGTGGATACCTCACTTCTAGAATAACACTTTGCCATATATTCCTTGAAAATCACAGAACCTTTAGCAGGCCTCTGCTTGGTATGGAATTGTATTGTAGCGAAATGATTTATGCTGGAGTGGTCGCCAGCTGACATCTACCAGAAGCCTTCCTTGTTCTCCAAAAGGCTTTCCTCTGGGGGTGGGGGTGCCAACGCTGCAATTGTGCCTCCCAGCAGCTGAAAATGAAAACAAGCAAAGCCGTATTATTTTACAATTGTTAGCATTCAAAAGAAAATTTCAAAATGCCTGAAAAGCCAGACAAAGCTACAGATGTCCACTCTTTCCCAGTCCACACCCAAAATGGTAAACCTGTTCTGAACTGATGAGAACAGGATACTCTAGTCTTCTTTCAGTATGGAAGGACAGACTGCCCTTCCCCCCGCCCCCGCTTGGAGGGGAAAAAAAAAAAAAAAAAAAAAAAAAAAACCACAGCAGTGCCGTCCAACAAAAGGCGAACGTTTCAAAAACATGATGATTCAAAGTTGAGTCTCTGTTTGGGCGCCCTGCTCTGGGCTGCCCTTTTTTTTTTTTTTTTTTTTTCCCCAGGGACATTTTGCCTTCCCAAAGGGAAGCAGCTTAGAAATTCCCTGTTCAAATAGGGAACGTGCTTAGTAATAAATTCCCCGGGACTGAAAATCGAGGCATTTTGGAAGAGAAGAGTAAACTTGGAAAACTTTGAGTAGATGTTAACATCTTGATGTATAGCTAATTCCTTCAACTGCTGAGCAGATAAGGTGAGATTATTTAATGGAATGAGGATTTTATTTTTCAGATGAAAATGAGAGCCTCACAGTAAACTCTGAGGTATGGGGTATGAACTCAAAGTCTTGTCATGTGTTGTGTGCTTTGAAATATTTTGGGAAAATGATGTACTGCCTCTTTATCATGGCAATTAAAACGTCATTTGATCCAGTAATATCTTGGCGGTACCAATTTCCCTTTGTTTTTGTCAAATTTATTAGAATGTGGTTAAGGAAGTCAAGAACGTGTTTATATCCTTAACCTTTTACAATAAAGGAAGCTCAAAACTTTGTGTTCTAAAGACGCTGAGGACCAGCAGCATTTAAAAAAAAAAAACAAATTCTCCTCTTCCCCACCCTTCAGAGACTTTTCTGAAACCTGTAATAAATGTCTTTAAAGGAATTTCAAAGTAATGCTGGATGGTTATAGCACTTTTCTTCCTTGAACTTCCACTGTGGTAACCTTGGGTGCCTTCATTAAGAACTGACTGCTAGAAATTTGTACCTTTTAAACTTTGGACCTGTTTCACCAGTTTCCCTCAGCCCCCTGGCCTTCCAGCTCTGGCAACTACCAGTCTGGGCTCTGTATCTATGAATTTGGTGTTTTGTTTATTTGCTTGTTTAGATTCCACCTATGAGAGCATTTGTCTTTCTCTGACTTAACGTCACTTAGCATAATGCCCTCGGGGTCCATCCTTGTTGTCACGAATGGCAAGATTTCCGCCTATCTTACAGCCGAGTAATACTCCACTGCATATATACACCACATATATTTTTTTAAGATTTTACTTATTTATTTGACAGAGAGCGAGATCACAAGTAGGCAGAGAGGCAGGCAGAGAGAGAGGGGGAAGGCAGGCAGAGAGAGAGGGGGAAGCATGAGGGGGAAGCTGAGCAGAGAGCCCGATGCGGAGCTCGATCCCAGGACCCTGAGATCATGACCTGAGCCGAAGGCAGAGGCTTTAACCCACTGAGCCACCCAGGCACCCCACACACCACATATTCTTTCTCTGTTTATTTACCTGTGGACACTTAAGGTTGCTTCTGTGTCTTTTCTATCGTACAGAATGCTGCCTTGAAAATGGGGGTACATTTATCTTCTTGAATGAATGTTCTCCTCTTCTTTGGGTAAATACCCAGAGTTGGAATTGCTAGATCACATGGTGGCTCCATTTTTAATTGTTTGAGGACCCTCCGTACTGATTTCCAGCGTGGCCGCCCTAATGAGCATTGCCACCAGCAGTGTGCAAGGTTTCCCTCTTCTCCACACTTTCCTCAACACTTGTTATTTCTTGTCTTTTTGGTAATAGCCATTCTAACACATGTGAGTTTGATAGCTCATTTTATTTTTGATTTGCATTTCCCTGATGATGCGTGATGTCTAACAACTTCTCATGTGTCTGTTGGCCATCTCTCTGTCTTCTTTGGAGAAATGTCTGTTCAGATCCTGTGCCCATTTTGTAATAGGATTGTGTGAGGTTTTGCTATTGAGTCATCTGAGTTCTTTATATCTTTTGGATATTAACACTTTATCAGATACATAACTCGCAAGTATTATCTTCCATTTAGTAGCTTGCTTTCCATTTTGTTGATGATTCCCCTTGTTGTGCAGGAGTTTTTTGTTTTGTTTTGTTTTGTTTTTTTATTTTATTCATTATTTGTCAGAGAGAGAAGAGAGCAGAGGGAAAGGGAGAAGCAGGCTCCCTGCTGAGCAAAGAGCCCAAATGTGGGGCTCGATCCCACAACCCTGGGATCATGACCTGAGCTGAAGGCAAACGCTTAACCAACTGAGCCATCCAGGTGCCTGAGCGTTTTATTATTATGTTGTCCCAATTGTTTGTTTTTTGAAGCTGACGGATTTTTTAAATGAAGTCAGTCAGCTAAGATGCCACCTATGTGCAAAGTTGGTAGATTCTAATGGGATTTGAGCCCTTTCTCCTTTTAAGGCAGTTAACACCTAAAGTTAGGAGTCCAAAGAATGAATAAGGACTTTTCATAGACCCGTCTTACATCCATGGCCACCAGCTTCAGCTTATATATGTGCAAAATGACATACCTTTGGACTGGTTTCCTTGGTTTTTAACTCTATTTTAACCTCTGTTGGAGAGCCTGTGAGCATGTAAAACTTCTCTTGGTGCTTTTTCTCAGAGCTGGGGTCTGCCGAGTTACTCTTATAACTCAGATTCAAGAGACTTTATTTTGGCCCCATCCAGGCACGTGTGCTGTTTTGGTTAGGATGCCATAACTAGGGAAATCCGACTTGATGGTAGTTGGAGAGGTTGGCTTCTTCTGAGGAGGGAATAAGAGAATTTTCCCACAGGAGTTCATGCCAGCTTTGGACATGCTGATTGTTAGAGGATAATCCCTGTTGAACAGGAAGAGAAGATGGTATCTGTTGCATTGTTCCTGGAGAAAGCGCTCATGAGAGGGGACTGTGATGGCTAGGCATGGAGATAGGGCCAGGATCTGCCCGCGTGCTTCCCTCCCCTTGATCTGCATGAAGTGGCTGCTAGGTGGGCAAAAAGAAGGTGGTTTCAGAGGGGGCTACGGAGTCATAGAAAAATACGAGAGCTAGACGGAAACTTCTGGGTCTTCTGGTCCAGACAGTGGTGTCAGAACTAGCTCTTAGCAGTTGTGAGAGCCCGTTGGTACGTTTTTGGGAATTCCGTGTGCCAGTGGTAAAAACATAAACATCATTAAAATGAAATTCTCTAAATTTAGAGGTAAGTACCTTATATTAAAAACAAAGGTAATAAAAACTCAAAACCCATTACTCATGCCTGGAAAATTTCCTGATTATTTGACTCTACTCTCATCCATGCCCCTTAAATAACCCTGGGGTTATTTAAGGTTACCGTATGTGTAGGAGATATGTTGTCAGGACACTAGCTTGAAATCAGACCCAGGGAAGCTATCTGGAGTGCAGCAAGACAAGTTTGGGTTGGAGTGGTGGCCAGCTGACATCGATGGGAAGCCTCATTCTTTAAAAGATTTCCTTTGAGAGTGTTGCCAGGGCTCCAGCAAATGCTACAAATGAAGGCTTCTTCCTTCCAGAAAGCCAGTGATTAAACATTTCAGCTGCACTCCCCTGGGCTCAGCCCACTCACTTTTGTACATGAGACGGGGCTGCAGAGATGAACAGACCCTTGTCCAAAGGCCTGCAGCCAAGACCCGAGGATGCCTGTCTGGGTGCTCTCCCTTACACCGCCGGCGGTGTGCGTAGTGAAAGGGGCGAGGAGGGTGAGGAGTCAGGTTTAGCTGTGAACATTCAGCTCCCAGGTTCCTCTGTCACCATGGAAAACACTATGGGGACCAGGTAACAAATGAGTAACACAGAAATCCTGTGGAGAAAGAAGCTTCACAGAAATCAGAAGCAGTTGCCAGAGGAGTGCTAGTCTGCTCCTGGCTGCTCTATAAGGGGGACGAGGTGGTAGAGCCCAGATGCTGAAATCTGTCCCCAGTGTGTGGTGATGAAATGATTGAATGGAAGAATGATTAAAGCATGGAACACTTATCACCACCTGGTATTAGGTTATGAATGTGTTTGCTGATTTATTTCCTATCTCCTCCGTAAGAATGTAAGCTCCATGCGGGCAGGGACTTTGTCTTATGTGTCGTTGTACACCCAGCTCCCAGCATGGTGCCTGGCACAGAAAGGGGCTCCATAAATATTTTTGAAGGAACGAATGAACGAACTGGTCCTGCCAGCTCTTAGCATTGTATAGCTCCATCCCCGGGGGACATTTTGCCCAGGTGATGGTGGCTGGTGGCGCCCGGCCCAGGGGGCGTGTTCGTTTGCTGTGTATCAGGCTGTCAGATTCTCAGTGACCATCGTTTGTCTTTCTTTGTAGATGACGGAGGGCCGTCGATGTCAAGTACATCTTCTTGATGACAGGAAGCTGGAACTGCTAGTACAGGTAACTGATTTTGGCCAACGTTCTAAGTTTCTTCCGAGGCTGATGTGGTTCGGACTTCAATTCAGCCAATGGGTGGGGAGAGGATAGAAGTGGTTTTTAAATGGGTATCTGGTAGAATCTAGGAGAGAAGGGCGGCACACCATGGTATTTTTGTGCTTGTGAGCGCTATTTTCATTCTGTTTCTTTGTACACCACGCCTAAGGCATTCAAGGCCAGATGTATATCTAACCTATTGTTGCAAAGCTCTAGAAAAGGAAATTCCGCAGCTGCCATCAGCAATTTCTACTTGCAGGAGCTAAATGGAATATAATGTAAATGACTCTTGCCGCAACTGTAACTGATGCACGTCTTCCCTACTCAGAGAGGGCTGGAAAACCATTTGCTTTTTCCAAGTGAATCCTTCATAGGTGTGGGAAAGAAGAGGCAATCTCCTGGCTCTGGCTCCCTTCCAGGGGCAACATAACCCCCATCCCACGTGTCCACAATGTATCACTCTTGAATACCTATGTCTCTGTGGACACTCCGGAGATCCGTCAGTCCATCTACAAACTTTGCACCCACCCATCGGAGTTAGAGAAATCAGAGCAGTATTAGAATCACAGACTCTGGCCTTGTTTAACTTGTTCTCAAAAGAAATCATCATTATACCTAGAGCTCCAAAGAATCACAAAGTTGCCCAACTTGATTTAAAGACCTTAATTCCAAATCTGTTGTTTGACTCCAAGTTTTAGAACTATATTTGCTTGAAATTCTCGAACGTCTATCAAATTCTTAGAGCAGTGCCCCTCATTATCCAGAACATTTTGCCAAACAATATGTAATTTATCACTAGGTTGAAATAACACCTTCATGCTCATTCACTGGTGGGGGCGGGGGGGGGGGTGATACTGCCACAATGGGAAGATTTGCGTAGAAATACTCTAATGTCACGTTCCCTTGTACATACTGCTTGGATTTGAAAATATTTGAATTGCTAATAACTTAGGAGTTAATACTTTCAATTAGCTTTAAATTATAAAAGCAATGTAGGAAACAGAAAGTAGGAAAAAGCTCATAATCACAGCCCACTCATTTACCTACTAGTCTCATTTCAGCACATTTCTTTCCAGCATTTTTCAGATTTCTATTTCTTATGTGGTTGTAAATGTAATGTGTGTAATTCTATTTTATTTTTCCATCTAACATTGTCTTTCATTGGCAGTTCCCAAGTTACTGTAAGTTCATCTTTGTTAATATCAGCATAAATTACAAAAATGGACATACCATTATTATCTAATGGTTCACTCATTTGGGCACTTTTAAGGCTTTTTTTGGTTTGTTTAATAGTTTTTCTGCTATTACCAGTAAACACTGTCATTAATTTACCCACGAGTGCAGAAGTCTTCAATGTTTTGGATTATGTTCTTATTAGGCTTGATTCCAAGACTTACAGTCTTATTAGAAGTCAAACTTGTGGTTTGGATTTGGGGGGTGAGGTGAGGCAGGAGACAATTGTAAAGTGAGCGAGATCTCATCCGCAAAATCACGGACAAAGCACTTAGAGCTTTCAGTTGTTTAGAATCAGCGTAAAGAGTTTATAGGAGAGTGGTCCAGTGTTTTTTAGATGCTTTTTTAAAAAATATATATATATCAACACTTAGAGGCTTAGAAAGCAGCCACTCTCTGAAACAGGAAATGGAACCTCAAGTGGCAGTGAAGTTATGGTCTGTCAGCCAGCCTTCCCCGGGAAGAGGTGAACCAGGGCATTGGAAGTGAACTTGAATCGCAGAAAAGGTATTTAGTTACTACTATATGTGCCTTTGGAAGGCTCGTCCTCAGTCCTTCACAATCCAGAAGATGTTGAATTAGGGCAAGCAAGAGAAGACCTATTCTGCCCACCCCCTGCAGAACACACGTCATGTGTTACTCCCTCTTTCTAGAACTCTGTTTCCTGCGCCGGCATCCCTGTGCCTGTGGCTGGTTTCTGCTAAGCCTCCATTTCACAGCCTAGAAGATACTCTTCCCCCCATATTCTCCCTGCCTGCGCGTTCTCCCCCACAGTCCCCCTTCACCCTTCACGGCGCTATCACAGCTCAGTGTCACAGCTCACTGTCCCTGCCTCTTTACTCTGTTGCCCAGAGCCGCCAACGGTTTGAGGGCAGGGTCTCCATCATGATCCCCTTGTATCCCCAGCACCCAGCCCAATGCCTGGCACAAATGTCACTAAACAAATCCTTTTGGAATGAAAAAAAGGGCTAATCCTAAAATGCCTTGGTATTATTTCCCCAAAGGACTTTTTGTCGTAGAACCAATTGCTTGGCAGGGGATTTTGTTGAGCACAAAAACACTATAGATAAAAAAAAGGGGAACACTTCTGAAGTCCTTTGGGCATGATTACAAAGCAGACTTCAGCAAAACATAGAGGAGCAAGGTTAAAACTATTGGACAAACACCAAGTTAAACATGACTTTTCTTTCTCCTCTACAAAGTTCCCTTGTCCTGGATTACGTTCTTTCGACAAAACCCTTTCTAAAGGGAATCCCTCTCCTTGGGTTCATTTGGACCCATGCTAGGTTCTTCATAGAACAAAGCATTTGGATCCCATACTTCTCTTTTTGATACCGTAAATCTACAGAGTGACAACCTGGCAGATTCATTTACTCTTGAGTCACCCAAGGACAGGAGGTGCAGACGGTTTTGCTGGTGTTGCCATGAAGCACAATTTCAGAGTATTCGTAACAAGCCTGAGATGAAGAAACGCCCTTCTCAGTCTTGCAATCTGGAGATGCGGAGTTGGGGTGGGGTAGGTGTGGACCTGACAAGGTTTGGAAGACGGAGAGGCAGGTTGGGAGGAAGTGTTTCTCTCCCACAGAGGGGCAAGCGGGTTTACTCAAGGGTGGCTGCAATTTGAAATAGTGGCAGAGGTGGGACATCGAGTGTTTCAGCCGCTGTTAGGGTAAGAGCTGCATCGAAGGCTACACCTCGCGAAACACCGACAGCCTGAAAGAGGACCAAGACGGCCTGGAGTCAGCAGCTAACAAGGATTCCCTCCCACCAGAAGGATTCTGGTGACCAGACACCCACACAGACCATTTTCTCCTATGTAGACCTGGTCCCTGTGACTATAGCATTTCCCTTTTTTGGGTTAGAGAGCAAAATGGCCATAATCCCAACATTTAATGCTTACAAAGCCCTTTGAGATGATTGAGCAGAATCTGTGCTTCCAAATCCCTGATTGCCCTGAGTAAATCCCACGTCACCCCTACAGGGGAAAGGGCAAAGGTCAAGCATGCACATACTGGGATTGGATATTTGAAAAGTTCATCTCAAAATCCACAGCCAGGTCCCCAGTACCCACAGCATTACCACGTGACTCCATAGTCCTTAAATTCCACTTAAGGACAGCAGGAACGATGATGTGAGCTTTCTACAACAAAACCAAGCCTCCACATCCTCTGTCACCAATGTGTGACAGGGTCCAGGCACATCACCCTCCCATCCAGCCTGGAGATGGTGTCATTTGCCCTGTCACCCAAAATTGTTTCAACCAATTCGAAATGTACTCGAAAAAGCCTGCATCAGAATGACAGAGTCTGCCATCATGCATGTCTCTCTGTCAGCCACTTCCTGATGCTTCAGTAGCCAGCTAAGAGGGTGTCTTGAATGTTTTGTAGTAAAATCCTCAAGTCTTAGCTTCATATGGCTATTCCTTTAAAGTTAATTTCTCCATTTTTTTCCCCCTGAATATTTAGGTGAGCATTTTGAAAGCCAAGGAAGGAAAATGTGCCTTAGCCTTAGTGAGAACAATTTAAATAAGACGGGGAAGAATTTCCGGACAGTGGGGGTCAGTAGACGGAGTCCCGGAAGCCATTAATAAGGAAGGAGGATCCCAGGCTCTTTCTCTTGAATTTCTTAAAAATAGAATAGATTTTCACTTGATTGGAATGGCTGAGGTGTGGCTCTTCCTTATTAGGTTCTCTTGAGGCTTATGACATTACGTGGCCTCCTTTCTCACAGGAAGACATGCCAGGACAGGGAAAACAGACGTGGGCCTTCTCATTTCAGGGCTTTGCCCAAACCCCATAGATGAGTAGGTGTTATGCTCTGTTGGCAGGAATTCTTCACTCTGATGATAGAGCTTTACAAATTGGAATTCTCTCCAGCCCCACGACTGCCTCAACGATCCCCACTTTATGTTTTGTTTGGGAAGCTGCCCCGTGATGTCACTAACATCCTTGGACCGTTGGGTCTGACCCAGTCTTTCAGTGGCCATTGGCAGCCCTTTCAACACCATCCACTTATGTGAAAATAGAGGAACAGAGTGCCCTGTGATTCTGAGAAGTGGCTCAAACCTCAGCTTTTTTCCAGGAGAATGAGAAATCATAGCTGGGTTATTGTTGTACATGACACGGTGTCCCTAATTCTGAGAAAGCCAGTGGGACAGAAACATTAGGAAGGATCTAAAGCTGGACTCTGTCATGCAATGGGAGGTTTGAAATGTGGGCAGTCCACACGGACCCGAAGTGTAAAATACACACCCAGTTCTGAAGGTTTCCTCTGAAAACAAAAAGTAAAACATCTTCTTAAGGATTTTTATATTGATGATTCCATGTTGAAAATGGAATATTTGGGGGGTATAATAATTAGGTTAAAGAAAATATGTCCGTGAAAATAGTCACATCTTGTTTAATAGGACTACTTCATATTGGGTTCATGTTTATGGCTGACATTTTATTTCTGTTGGACAGCTATCTGTAAAGAGTAGAGAGAAGATCATTTAACAAGAGAAAAGATTGTGGACACAGTCAGATTACCCGGATCAATGCTGGATGTCCTCCGCAAGAATGATCACATTTTATAGTTCCTTATAGAATGTCACTGGGGCTTATTTATCTAATTTTTATGTTGACTGTGTAAAGTCAGTGATAATTCAGATGAAAAAACAAATTCAGGAAGGTCAGATAACTCGCTTGAGGTCACATAGTAGTAGTAGTAGTCTATGCAGCTTGAACACAGAGTAC